GAGGCCATAACTTCAACAATTTGTAACCTAGGAGAAAAGTTATTGTAAGCTTTTTTGTTTAAAATTTGATGCTTTAACAGAAAAAAATATAATATACAGGGGTTTCCATTTAAAAAAATGTTATTTTACTGAAAAAAATCAAAATAACGACTCTCAATTGTTTTTTTTTATTTCTCATTTTTACCAGCGTTAAAAATGCTACTAGTTTGCTAATTCAAACAACTTTGTATTTTCACTAATAACAAAGTTACTAATGGTGGACACTTAATTTGGATAACCCTGTATATATACAGGGTGTCCCAGAAGTCGACGTCAAGCCGAAACCGGGTGATAGGCAAAGTCATAACAGCTATCAGAAAAATATTTTAAAAAAAATTATGTATGTGTTTTGAAAATTATAGGTCTTTGAAAAAAATATAGAAATTTCACACCCTACGGCAGTCTGTCAACTCCTGTTACTACAAATATTAACTTTTTTTGGATTTTATTGTTACAATGTAATGATGAATAATGCATCTTCAAACTGGTGTCTCAACTTTACTGCCAACTTTTCTCGTTCAGGAAAAATTGCCACTTATTTCCCAACCAAGTATTCCAAAGTAAAACTTTGCTCAACTTTAACTGAATGTACTGGAAAAAAAATGTACTACGAGAGTTTGGCAAGTGACCTTAAAAGTTGGTGCATTTAATAACGATTCCAAAATGGCATAACACTTAGAAGATTACTCGTTAACTTATGCACAATTTTTATTTGAAAAAAAAACTGATGAAAATTTTTCTAATTTCCTAATTAAACAGCGATTATGAAAACGCACAAGGACCCTTAAGGATAACTGTTTGCACAACAGTGGGCGTCAAAATGCTGCTGATGATGATTTACCTTTACAGCAAATGCTCAAATTGTTTTCCTTCAGCCGTAATACACGCTCGACATCTTCTTAAAAAAGATCGGGTTATTAAACGAGCAAATCCACGGTTATTAACAAACTCAGCTGCTTCCAGTAGTCTTTGCCGTAGCTCAGCTACATTTTGAATCGGCATGAAATACACTTTTTCTTTTACAGTTCCCCAGTAAAAAAAATCTAACGGATTCAAATCTGGCGACCGGGCTGGCCACGGTATTGTACCCGACCGCCCTATCCATCTGCCTGGAAAGTTTTGATCGAGATACTCTCTCACTGAGAGTGCATAGTGCGCTGGGCAGCCATCGTGCTGAAACCACATGTCCCTGTAAATACTCACAATAAATTTTGTACATGATTTTTCAAAAAAGCCAAATAAACTTCAGCAGTCAAAGTCTCTGGGAACTCAAACGGACCGATTATTTTACCATTTAAAATTCCTGTCCAATGGTTTATCTTGAAGCGATATTGAGATTTATCTTCTCTCATCAAATATGGGTTTGCTACGTGCCACTCGTGTAAGTTATGCAGGTTCATGTACCCATCTTTCTTAAATGTGGTCTCATCCGACCATAAAATTTTTTCAAAGAACTGTGGATCTTTCCTGTGTCTTTCTAACATTGTGCGACAAAAAGCAACTCGGGGCTCATAATCCTGGGGCAGGAGAGATTGAACACGCTGTATGTGGTATGGATGAAGCACATCACTTACTTGCTATTGCACACTTTGATACCGATCAGTACTCAATCGTTTACTGCGCATCTTTACATGTTCGTGCTTGTTGATTTCGTACTGTTACTAATTTTGGATTCGTGAACTGGACTGTTGATCGCTTGTGATTTGGATTTGGACTGTTTAATTGCTCTTCAAAATAACATTTGCTTTCCTTAGACTATCTTTGATAGTGTGATTGTGCAGTGCCGCTCTGTCCGTGTACACCGTACAAGAATATGCTAACATGCACCTCATTTATGGCGAATGCAGATGCAACGCTAGTGCTGCAGCGAGACTTTACTGTGAGAGGTACCCGAATGCAGCTCGTCACCCAGATCATCGAGTGTTCACAAATGCTTCATGGCTTACTGTTCTCAGAGGGCCAACTACCAAACCAATCAGACGGTGAGGGAAGATCTTTCCTTCCTTACGAAGACGTGGTGCTAGGAGCTGTCGAAGAAGACCCGAGTACTTCAGTGCATGCAATAGAACTAAAAACAGGTGTGCCCAAAAGTACAGCCGATAGAATCTTGCAAAAAAACGTGCTCCATCCATACCACGTACAGCGTGTTCAAGCTCTTCTGCCCCGGGATTCTGAACCCCGAGTTGCTTATTGTCGCAAAATGTTAGAAAGACACAGGGAAGATCCACGGTTCTTTGAAAAAATTGTATGGTCAGATGAGACCGCATTTAAGAAAGATGGGTACATGAACATGCATAACTTACACGAGTGGCACGTAGCAAACCCACATTTGATGAGAGAAGATAAATCTCAATATCGCTTCAAGATAAACCATTGGACAGGAATTTTAAATGGTAAAATAATCGGTCCGTTTGAGTTCCCAGAGACTTTGACTGCTGAGGTTTATTTAGGTTTTTTGCAAAATCATTTAGAACATTTATTGGAGGACGTGCCACTGAGTATTTACAGGGACATGTGGTTTCAGCATGATGGCTGCCCAGCGCACTATGCACTCTCAGTGAGAGAGTATCTCGATCAAAAGTTTCCAGGCAGATGGATAGGGCGGTCTGGTACAATACCGTGGCCAGCCCGGTCACCAGATTTGAATCCGTTAGATTTTTTACTGGGGAACTGTAAAAGAAAAAGTGTATTTCAAGCCGATTCAAAATGTAGCTGAGCTACGGCAAAGACTATTGGAAGCAGCTGAGTTTGTTAATAACCGTGGATTCGCTCGTTTAATAACCCGATCTTTTTTAAGAAGATGTCGAGCGTGTATTGCGCCTGAAGGAAAACAGTTTGAGCATTTGCTGTAAAGGTAAATAATCATCAGCAGCATTTTGATGCCCACTGTTGTGCAAACAGTTATCCTTAAGGGTCCTTGTGCGTTTTCATAATCGCTGTTTAATTAGGAAATTTTGAAAAATTTTCATCAGTTTTTTTTCAAATAAAAATTGTGCATAAGTTAACGAGTAATCTTCTAAGTGTTATACCATTTTGGAATCGTTATTAAATGCGCCAACTTTTAAGGTTACTTGCCAAACTCTCGTAGTACATTTTTTTCCAGTACAGCCAGTTAAAGTTGAGCAAAGTTTTACTTTGGAATACTTGGTTGAGAAATAAGTGGCAATTTTTCCTGAACGAGAAAAGTCGGCAATAAGGTTGAGACACCAGTTTGAAGATGCATTATTCATCATTACATTGTAAAAATAAAATCCAAAAAAAGTTAATATTTGTAGTAACAGGAGTTGACAGACTGCCGTAGGGTGTGAAATTTCTATATTTTTTTCAAAGACCTATAATCTTCAAAACACATACATATAATTGTTTTAAATATTTTTCTGATAGCTGTTATGACTTTGCCTATCACCCGGTTTCGGCTTGACGTCGACTTCTGGGACACCCTGTATATATATACATAGCTATACAGGCCTGAAAGGCCCAAGGCTTTATTTGTAATTTCTTTCCATTTCTTCTTATTTTGAAACACGAATTTCTAGTTTTGTACACCTAAGCTTCTCAGATCAGCTTCTACTCCGCTCTTCCGTCTTTCCTTCGGTCTCCCTCTCCTCTTCTTGACTCCTATGCTTCTGCTAACAATCATTTTTGGAATCCTATTTTCCGCCATCCTTTCTACATGTCCTAACCATTTCAACCTTTGTGCTCTTATATATCCTGTGATACTTGATTATTTATACATGTCTGCAAGGTCTTGGTTTGTCCTTCTTTCCCATACCCCATTGCTCTGTTTTCCTCCAAAAAATTTCCTTAATTTTTTCTTTCCCACACTTCTAGGGTATTTATATCTGCCTTCCTCAAGATCCATGTTTCACAAGCAAATGTAAATGTAATGGTTTTATTACTGTTCTATATAATTTAATTTTTAGTTTATTACTTATCAACTTGTTTTTCAGGAGATGGTTCAGGCTATATAAACATCTATTTCCCTCCCCAGTCTTGCTTTGATTTCTTCCCTTGTGTCCGGTTTTCTTGTGAATGTTGATCCCAAATAGACAAATTGATCGACCTCTAAAAATTATATATTTTGCCACTGCCTGTTTTTACCTTTAGGCTTTCTCCTGTCTTAAAATCATCATCTGTCCATCTCATATATTTTCGTTTATCTGATTTATTATTAGACCCTTTTCCTTTGCTGTCTCTTCAAGTACTTTTAGTACTTGTAGCAATTCTCTTTGGCTTCTAGCAACAATTGCAAAGTCACCTGCGGACGCTAAACATCGGTGCTTTCTATTGTATATCCACTCAAATTAAAATGAGCTTCATCAGAAACTAGAATATTGTTTAAAATTTGAAAGGGCTCTAACATTGTTTCGGCAAACGCGCGGCGTAGATGGTGATCCTGCGCTTTGAATTCCTGCACTAGTTAGGTTTATACTGGTCCAATATAAGGTTCTTTATTCTTATTATGTTCTTGTTATGGAGAGCTCACCTGATATCTTTCTTACGGACGTTGTAAGTCCGCTTACAGTTTCCTCTGTTCATATTGACCTTGGACGCCACTCAGGTTTTTGATTCAGTGTCGAACCCGTAGACTCGAACTTTCTGCCCCACCACCTGATCACACTTTCACTAGGACATTGATTTAGATAATGTAAGCTCAACTCACAGCGAAACAGACGCCGCGAAATAGTACACGATCTCCATTTTTTTAATAAGCCTTAGCACAGAACGCACGCTGCTCACCGGTGAAACGCTCCATGGCGACTAAATTTTCGAGCACCAAACTACTCATCCATACTACCCGTGTCCGGCTCCCGCTTGTGTGTCACGAGCAATAAATATCGAAGTATTGTGACTACTCTAAAGTAGTAGCTGTTTAAACATTTTGCGGTTATTTATCATTTCTAAATATCTTTTGTGACGATGATTGGACGCGTATAACATAGAAATATTTTCTGTTTTAGGTGTTTGTAGACCAGTACAATGACACCAAAAGGCCGACTTTATTTCTCTCATGGATTCCAAATGCATCTTTGACAAAACACACGACTTCATTGAGCAACTCTTTGCAGTTACAGCACAGTATCAAGAGGTGTAGTTTGGAAAGCCTGAATTCGAATGAGGTAGGTGCGACGAACTTTAGTCAATCTGTCTAAAAAACAAATCAACTTGCACGAGCGGTACTCCTAAGCCTACCTGTTTATTGTTTTGTAAATGCTACCTTCATTATCCTTATCAAGTGAAGGCAGTCACTTGAAAAATAATTCGTAGCTGATTCAAAATAAATAGAATCGTAAAATGTTGACCTAACAGTTCAGCCTACAGCAATTCTATCATATTCAAATCCGGGAATTGGGGAGATCATTGCATGACTTTCAAAATGTTTTATTCTTCTTTTGCTTCCAAAAATTGTCTACAGAGCTTGGATGTGCGTTTGGGGTCATTGTCATGCCGAAAGACAAACCCAGAAGGCACAACATGATTTTGTAGTATGGCTTCTTTATTCAGTATTCCCTTTCACACCAACCCCCAGAGCGGAACCACCCAAACTGTCCGATTTTGATGTTGTTTGGCCCAGTTCAGTCTCTTTTTGTATCGGTTAGTTTATCAAATGAGACAAGACAACTGAAGTAAAGCTGTGTTATGGGTTTACGTACAACACAAGTTCAAAGACATAATCGAAAAAGAAATCCTGAGAAAGAATTCCTAAAACATAACAGTATTCTAAAGGCAAACAAATTCCTATTATGGCTAATGATGAGATCCCAATAATAGTGTGAGCAAAATTTTGATTTCAAGCTTGATTTCCATGGTGATAGTTATCAATAAATAAAGAAAAATAAATACGTACTGTATATTTTTTTGTTATGGTTTTAAATGGAAATATGCAGCTGTTCAAATACTTTTGAACGGTAGTATATATAACTTGAGACGTGGTCATTGTCGTCTAGACCAGTTAGGTGAAAAATTAAAGCTTCCGCCTTTTGTTGGGTACTTCGACAAAATTTAAGCAAAGAGGACTCTTTATACTTTTTTAATTCTCTCTAGCTTTCAATGGACTTTGCCATCATCATCAGGAGCTGCAATTACAATGATAACAGTAGCAACAAAAGTGTAAAATGAATTTAAATTGACTCAACTTACAGTAGTATGTGAGGATGTTGCTAATTGTTGTTTACGTATAGGATGAGGGAAACGTCCAGTAACATGGTGAGAGCTGGATAGATGGTACAATGGTCAAAATTATATAAAATATGACAAGAACAAGTTAAAAACAGATTAAAAATTATTTAAAAACATTAGAGCATTACATCGTGAAGCCACTTGATGATTGCACAAAATGGTAGTCATGGAATGATGAGTGAGATGAACCCTTTGACAGAAGGCCGAAGGTTGTCAATGTCTGTCTTGAAAGATGGAACGAATTGTGGGCGTGTGCCAAACGTTGCCAAATCACTTCAGATGATGTGATTTTCAGAATGTTATGTAAGAAATTGTTAAACCGACCAGAGGCAGTTGAATAAACTATATTTTGATTAATGGGAATTTAAATTAACAATTATTAATAAATCGTGAGAAGAGAATTATTAGATTTTGAGTGGAATGAAATTTACTGGTGGAATCGGCCAAAACACAGATTCTATTTATGGTTGTGAAGAGTCGAAATTTGGGGAGATATGTAAGTTCTCCAATTTTTCGCAGTTTAGCAAATATGAGTAAATGACACTCAGTTGTTTAACATCTGTCTTTTTGTTGATACAGTTGTTATTCATGAAAATGTGGGACATTTCCAGGAATAAACGTTTGGAAAGGTGTTTTTCTTTATCAAGAACTTTGATACCTGTGTAATTCATAGAATGCCCTGTTGTGTTAACATGAGATGCTAGAGCGCATCTTTCAGGATAAAGCCTAGCATCACTTTTGTGTGATGTAATCCTTCCTTTAAGAGATCTGGAGGTCTGACCTATGTATATTTGGTTGCAGTTGTTGTAATTGATGGAGTGTGTTGGTTAAGCCAAGCAGCGGGACTTTGTCTCTCATTTTTGAAAAAATGCAGTTTATAGTGAGGACGGATTTGCAAGCAATTCGAAAGTTCAAAGGACTGCACAATCTGATCAGCTTAGGGGTCAGTTCCTTGATATAGGGCCGGACAGCAAAACCAGGTCTGGAGCCCGGGTTGGTGCTTGTACTTTTCTTTTCCACTTTAAGTGTGGGATCTCTATTAATTTCATGATATGATGGGTCATCATTGATGAGATTGTTGCAAAGATCTAGATAGTGTTGTTTGAGCATTATCACTGTAACATTGCCTTTGTCAGATCTTGTAACCATAAGTTCAGAATGTTGTTTTAGAAATGTTCTAGTTTTGTTTAAAAGGTTGTGATAAAAGGAATGCTTTTTATTAAGATTGTTACTATGATAATAGTTAGTGATGAGGTTAGTGGAACGACTTGTGAAAATGTTTCTTTCTTATGGAGGATGCTATTGTGTCTACATCAGCTAGGATTAATCTAATTGGAATGTCATTGTTAACAATCCGCTCTACACTGAACTTAGGCCCTAAGGAAAGAAATTTTAATATGTCATGAGGGTTGTCAACATTACTGAGATTTTTTATCCAATTTTGTTGAGTGTTGTTCTTGTCATATTTTATATAATTTTGACCATTGTACCATCTATCCAGCTCTCACCATGTTACTGGACGTTTCCCTCATCCTATACGTAAACAACAATTAGCAACATCGTCACATACTACTGTAAGTTGAGTCAATTTCAATTCATTTTACACTTTTGTTGCTACTGTTATCATTGTAATTGCAGCTCCTGATGATGATGGCAAAGTCCATTGAAAGCTAGAGAGAATTAAAAAAAGTATAAAGAGTCCTCTTTGCTTAAATTTTGTCGAAGTACCCAACAAAAGGCGGAAGCTTTAATTTTTCACCTACCTACCTACCACTTCGAAGTTGAGTCATTTATTTTAACAGTGAATAGATCTGATCAAAAGAAATGTTTTTTTCCTTTACCATTTTTCTGGTAAAATTAAAGTAACAAAGTTATAGCCCTTTGGAAGTTTGAGTACCGCCCTGTCTCAATATCATGTGCTCGTGTTTGGCAACAACGGATATAATCCGCCTTACCGGTTCATCGCATCGGAAACAAAAAAGCGAAAGAATTTGGAACGATGTTTGTGTACAGTTTATTATTTTATTCAGTTCAGTTATACATACAGTCAGTGTCAGTGTCGCGTGTGAATATTGTCTGTTGCGTGGCTCAAACGAAATAAAAAATGGCACATGTTTATGCGGATCGGTTTCCCAATCGAGTGCAACCAACCCCTCGTGTCTTTGTTAATGTAGTACAACGGGCTCGTGAATCAGGTGACTTAAGACCTCACAGGGGACCTCACGATCAAATATAGGTCCGCACTGAAATACTTGTCGGGAGGATACTTTATAAAACAAGGTAAAAAATTTTTTTTTATTTTTTTTTTTATTTTTACACACATATTTTGGTTTATCTTCCTTCTACAATCATTATCTAAAAATTAATGACTCAACTTCAAAGTCACCCTGTATATATACAAGTAATTGTTAATTGGGAAATTGGCAAATTTTTAGGCTTAAGTTGACTCTTTCGACGATAAAATCAAGCTTTCGGCATTCTCTATGGAGCCTTCATCAGGATTCTGAAAACACAATTGTGATGCTAGCAACGAATACAAGACCGATTTAAATTGTCAAATAACTTGTTGAGGTTGCAGCCACAAGATGTTTCAAAACGAACGTAGAGAAGATAGAACTTGTTATAAATATAAAAACAATAGGACGGAGACATTGGGCTTGTTGATAACGACAGATACCTTTGTTATATGTTAAAAATATCAATACATCCGAACATACTAAAAATTATTAAACACGAGAAGACATTTTAGGGAAACAATCGGAATGCAGTCTCTAACCTCCTACTTCCGCAACACGTGGAGAGGGGGACGGAACGGAAAGGTAATGCGTCGACAGATGACATGTGATTGACGCGACGGAACGTGGAACTGTAAACGTCATTGTCCAATTTGGGTATGAAGTATACGAGGGACGCTCGGGAAACCTCCAGCCAAATTACTAGAATGCTGAATTAATTTGTTTTGGAAAAATGTGTAGTTCATATGAGTGTACGAATGTGAGATAGTGATACACACTTGAAAAGATGGGTTATGTGAGTTTATATTAAAGATTGTGAGTGAGAAATTTCAATTACCAGGATAGCAATTGGAAATGTATTCTAATTTTGGGACGACGTTGGTTCGATTTAGATATGTAGCCGTTAAACTTTTCGCAATTCGACAGGTAGGAATAAATGACACTAAGCTGCTTAACATCAGCCTTTTTATTCATGCAATGATCTGGCATGAAAATGTGGGCCATTTCTAAAAATAAACGCTTTGAGAGTCTTTTTTCTTTGTCAAGTACCTCAAAAAAAGAGTATAAAAAATTGAATCCAAACTTGCACAAATAAATGAATGAATGAAATGTTTGAGAAAAACCACAATTTGCCTTTTTGACCACCATGTATGAGCAAAAATTAAAATTCGAAAAAGTAACCACTAAGATAAGAGCTGAGGTGTGTAAGTTTCTTTTGATATAAAACTCAGCACTCTAAATTTAAAAATGGCCGACTGAGGGGCTGCCGAAGTGGGGGGTTTTTCTAGACAAAATACCTTATATCTCTGTAGCTAATTACCAAGACCCCATAGTATGTCATATCAATTTTCTTCTTTTGAATTGGTTTATCTAAATATGTAATAAAATTTGAGGCATTCCATTTGAAAAATCACAACTTTTATATGTAGGTCGAAATTGGGACATCCTGTATAATGGCCAATATTTTAGAAAAGTGCCCTCGCATGTCATGTAACATCCCATAAATAGATTTTCCCAAAATGTATTTGTTTATGAGTAATATTCCGTCCACACATGGATGGGCCACCCTGTATATATATATATATATATAACTTGAGACGTGGTCATTGTCGTCTAGACCAGTTAGGTGAAAAATTAAAGCTTCCGCCTTTTGTTGGGTACTTCGACAAAATTTAAGCAAAGAGGACTCTTTATACTTTTTTAATTCTCTCTAGCTTTCAATGGACTTTGCCATCATCATCAGGAGCTGCAATTACAATGATAACAGTAGCAACAATAGTGTAAAATGAATTTAAATTGACTCAACTTACAGTAGTATGTGAGGATGTTGCTAATTGTTGTTTACGTATAGGATGAGGGAAACGTCCTCTCACCATGTTACTGGACGTTTCCCTCATCCTATACGTAAACAACAATTAGCAACATCCTCACATACTACTGTAAGTTGAGTCAATTTAAATTCATTTTACACTATTGTTGCTACTGTTATCATTGTGATTGCAGCTCCTGATGATGATGGTAAAGTCCATTGAAAGCTAGAGAGAATTAAAAAAGTATAAAGAGTCCTCCTTGCTTAAATTTTGTCGAAGTACCCAACAAAAGGCGGAAGCTTTAATTTTTCACCTATATATATATATATATATATATATATATATACTAGAGAAGTTTTTAATTACACTTAACAACCCCGTATTCTTTTGTGTTATTTTTTTGCTTATTGTTAAGTTGACGTGACATTTTTTTCCATTGATTTAAGGAAGTTTGTTGCACCACTGTTACTTGTTGTTCAACTGTTTGTATCAAATGTTGGTTGAATCTGAATGAAGTAACAGTAGACTTGAGAATAAAATCAATTTTGCGCCGTTGCGACCGTACGTAGATCAAATATTGATTTTCTTATTATTTCTCCTTAAAACTGAGGCAAAATGTAAATTAATTAGACCTAGTAAATGGCCAATAGCCAATTTCCGTTTGGCTACTCACCCTGTATATAGTTGTTCGGCATTGTTCGCGTTCTTACAGGCTCCTTTCGTATGATGGTATTGACAACAGTTGAAACAGCGAAAGACAGGAAAATACTTCGCGACAGCACATTTTCTCGAACCAACATATACTAAGTGACATATAAATCCGAACACCCAGTTTAAATGGTTTTATTTTAATAAAAGTTGGTGAATGTATTTATCTTACTGTAAATAACAAGTGAAAATTTTTTCAGCCTTATCAGTTGGACATTCCGGTTTTTATACTGCTTTTTTTTTAATTCACTAACGCTCTAAAAATGAATATTTCAGCCGCAGTAAAGAATCAACGTTGGCGGATTTTGGTTCTTGACATCCTTTACGATCGGTTACGATGCCTAGAGTACGGAGACCTGTACGATTTCGTCAACTTAGTGAGTTTGATAGTGGGACTTCGGGAAGCTGGACTTTCTTTTCGGGCAATTGCAGTTAGAGTGCAAAGAAGTGTAGACACTGTGGTTAGGTGTTGTCAGGCATGGCTTCGAGAAGGCCGTACGCAAAGAGCAAGGGGCACTGGACGCCGCCGTAGAACAACAGACCGTGAAGATCGCCGCCTAAGATTATTGGCCTTAAGGGACCGTTTCTCCACTACCAGGTCCATTGCAAATGAAAGGTTTGCAGAACACGGAAGACCTATTGGCATGCGAAGTGTTTACCGACGAATGAGAAGTTTTGGCTTGTTTTCATACCGGCCACACTGGGTCCTCCCTTTAACTCGAGAACACCGACGTAATCGCCTTGAGTGGTGCAGACAACGGTCACTCTGGGATCAGGAATGAAACAGCATTGTCTTTAGTGACGAGTGTCGATTTTGTTTAGGCATGCACGATGGTCGTGCCAGGGTTAGAAGGCGACGTGGTGAAAGGAGGAATCCACAGTTTGTTGTTGAAAGACATGTTCATCACACTGTTGGAGTTATGGTTTGGGGTATTATAGCTTATGGTTCCAGGTCACCTTTAATCTTCATCAGAGGTAACATGAACGCGCAGCGTTATATCCACGAAGTTCTAGAACCCTGGCAGATCCAACTTTCCAACAAGATAATGCCCGACCACATGTTGCAAGAGTCACAATAGACTTCTTTCAACATAATGATGTCACATTGTTACCATGGCCACCAAGATCTCCCGACTTGTCCCCAATTGAGCACGTGTGGGATATGATGGGTAGGAGATTGCTCAATTTGCAACGTCCTCCTCAGACTCTAGAAGCACTTCGAGAGGAGTTGGTGGTTGCCTGAAATGAGATACCTCAGGAGGACATTGACCACCTGATCAGAAGCACGCCTAGGCGCGTTGGAGAATGCGTAGCACATCAGGGTGCATCCACACATTATCAAAGGTCAAAGGGCTTTGAAGCAGTGCAATCATTTTGAAATTTTTATCATTTACTTATTATGCTTCATTAAGTACTTATACAAAATTTTATCAAAATAAAACCATTTAAACTGGGTGTTCGGATTTATATGTCACTTAGTATATAAAAATCCTCGACCCAATTATAGATAACGCTACGGTCTTATTTTATCTTCGACAATTCTTCTTACACCCGAATTTACTGTCAAGTTGGCTTTCTTCAATTAGGACACGTTAAATCAATGGTTCAACGATGATTTCACGGTCATATCCGAACTCAGGGTCCCTAAATGATCTCAGTATGAATGAGAAAATCTGTTAGAACCGACAAAGACTCCTATGGTTTCCCATGTATTTGTTCATTTAATCTTAACTGAAAACTCCTTCAACTTTCATAGTCCATGGAATTTGAAAGACCTGTGGAGCTGAAGAACACAAATCCCTTCCTGAACTACGATGACCGAGATCGCTGCGACATGTCCGAGTCTCTGAGCTCAGACGAGAGCGAGAAACAGGGAATAAGCATCAACGTTGATATATCCAATCCTGAGATCGAGATCGTACAGACCCCAGACAGTGTCAAGGATGTCAGAGAGATGTTCGAATTTTCAAGGTAGATATGGTTAATTTTAAAATAAATGCAGTTTCCACAATGAGAATGAGACGACTGACGTTGGCGGGATCTCAAGCATAAGATGTGTATAGAAAAAATGTTTTTAGGTCTGAATCAGTGACTTCAACAGATAGCCAATTGAACTGGATGACGACTCCGGAGTTTTTAATGCAGAAACACAACTTGAATTTTCCAGACAGTGCCAGCAGTTCACCTATTTTGCCCAGCAAGCATCCACACAAATGCAGGAGGTTTAGCGTAGATTTAAGCCAAATGAGGTGAGATTATTCGAACGTTTTCAAACTGAGACACATCTTGATATCATTACTTAATCCATTAAATTTGTACAATCCCATTTGAAATACTGAGTTGCTCGTTATATTGTTACTGCAGTTTTGTCTATACTTCCTCTAGTAGAATAATTGTGGCACTCATTGTTCAATACAATAAAAGTTTCTAAGTGATTTGGTAGAAGATGATTTTTTAACTTGAATATGAAAATGAAAACCAAGTAGGCTATGAAATTTTTGATATTTAACCATTGTAGTTCTTTCAGCATAAAATTTATTCTAGTATATTTATTTTTATTTAAGATGATTCTTATAGCTTTATTTTGTAATATTTGTAATTTTGAAAATACAGTTTCATTTTCAGTGAAAAAAATAGTCGAATATAACAAATGAGGAAGAATGATAGTGTTGTACACAATTTTTTTAGAATAAACGCTTAGGCAATGCGAAATTCTATAAAAGTAATTTATTTTCTTGGATATTTTTGAAATAATATATTCATAGTGTCCTTCAAATTTTAATTTACTGTCTACGTATATGCCCAAATATTTAAATGATTCGATTGACACAATTTTTTCGTGATTAATTGTAAGATTTATCGTATTTTGATCCAAAGATTTTCCTATTAGCATATATTTTGTTTTGTTTGTGTTTAGTTTAAGTTTATTTACATTAACTAATTTATTACGTTTTTCATATTATTTAACATCTCTATTACAGTTTCAATGTCTTTATTCGATATATATATATATATATATATAGGTGAAAAATTAAAGCTTCCGCCTTTTGTTGAGCACTTCGACAAAATTTAAGCAAAGACATCTTTATACATTTTTAATTCTCTCTAGCTTTCAATGGACTTTGCCATCATCATCAGGAGCTGCAATTACAATGATAGAACAGTAGCAACAATAGTGTAAAATGAATTTAAATTGACTCAACAATTCATTTTACACTATTGTTGCTACTGTTATCATTGTAATTGAAGCTCCTGATGATGATGGCAAAGTCCATTGAAAGCTAGAGAGAATTAAAAAAATATAAAGAGTCCTTTTTGCTTAAATTTTGTCGAAGTACCCAACAAAAGGCGGAAGCTTTAATGTATCATCAGGAAATATATAGTTGAACTTTGCAGTGTTGTAAAATATCAGGAATATCGTTAATATATAAAATAAATAGTAATGGACCTAATATGCTACCCTGTGGCACACCTACCGAAATGCTTTTAATGTTTGATAATGTATTGCCAATTTTATTTTTTGACTTCTATTGATTAAATAATATGATGATAAGTTGAATAATGACTATAGTTTTGAGTAACCATGCATCGCTCAGCGTCAACGCGGGTGTTCCCCAGGGATCAGTCTTGGCTCCGACACAGTTTTTCTTGCATATCAACGACGTCCTGTCATGTACGATAAATACAATCCAAACTTTGACGATGTCAGCACTCTACGTGCAAGAATTCAGAATGACAAGCCGATCTCTACCGGTGAGCTAGGAAAAGAAGACTAGCAGCGTTTTTTCTAATGAGAGACCTGGAGGTTGTCACTTCTTGGGGATGCAACAATCTTGTATAATGTAGCGCTTCCAAAACACAGAACTACACATTTAAAAGACTTGAAGAAAAATCTATGTACATTCTCTTTTACTAGACAACTACTTTTCTTTCTGCAAAAGCAAGAAAAGATAAAAATTTACCAAGGTGATATACCTTCAGAAAGTAATCCCTTGTTCTAAATTAAGTTATGGCAGCTCCAAATCCAAAATCATGATTAATGTAATCTAATAAGCCCAAAAGACAGTGACATGTAGGCAATACCCTATATTTGAATACGTAAAATGCAAGAACAGTCTAAGAATTTCAATCAGCAACAATCAAGATATCAATATCTATATATAAAATACCCAATTAAAATGATATTTTCCAACAAAATCGGCTGCGAAACAGCTACAAGGCAGCTACAAACAAAGCCGGAGGAGTGTGAATAGTGATTCTCCACAATGGCTTTCCACTAAAAGGAATCAGACATTGAACAAACTTCTTCAGGACAAGCATTAATGGCCATAGTCCGATGGTATACAAAAGAGAACTTACCGCTGGAGGTTAAAACCCCATTACTTAATGAACGGGGTAGTACCCACCAACACAACTAAAAGTAAGGTACAAAATAAAAGGGTACTACTCCATAAACTGGTGTTTGGGGCGTTAATATCCCAAAATCTGGAGGTTAACGAAAAAACGCCCGCACACAACCAAATCTACAGCAGAAACGAGAATGGCGCAGGACAGTCTGCGCACGCAACCCTCTAAAAGAAGGTTAAATAAAGTGGCCCTGAAGAAGGCACGTTCGACAGAACAAAATGTCCCTATACGGCTAGTACGTGTAAAGTCACAAGGTGGCGCGCTGGTTGCCTACTCTACAAGGGTCCAACGATATTTTATGAGGAAATTTCTCAGCCAGTCGTTAATAACACTATAACATGTGTCCAAAAAAATTTCAATACAATATTGAGTAGCTGAGAATGACATATAATACGTGAGAAATTATACAATCAAAAAACTATGGAATTTGCCAAAAGAAAATCATTGAAAATGGTTTGTTCTAAGACACTGATCAACAGCCAAAAAATATCCTAAATAAAATCAACAAAATATTACTATTTTTAATGTGCTAAAACCGGAATGACACTTATTTTTTCAATAGTAGTTCAAGTTTTAGAGATACGGTAATTATATGTGTTCCTACTGTGACAGTGTTAATATACTGTAATTCACAAGAACGCACGTGCTACATTTTTATATTCGGCAAGGAAAGATGATGTAATCGGCATGATTGTGTTACGTTATACATACGTGTACATTATATTGTTTTATATTAGCCATTTTTTCCTCAGTTGGCTGACAGCGTTCATGCAAGATGTCTCCAATCCAGATCAGTTTTGTTACGTGTGTGGTGATGTGACTTTTGCGTCTCAGAGACGGTCTATTACTCCACTAATAACAAAGGCATATCAGCTTTATTTCGGTTGTAAACTAGGTGATCAAGACAAACAGTGGGCACCCCACATCTGCTGTAATACATGTGCTTCAAGTCTGAGGAGCTGGTTAAATGCCAAAAAACGGTCTATGCGCTTTGCTGTCCCAATGGTTTGGAGAGAGCCTACAAATCATATTAATGATTGTTACTTTTGCATGGTACCTTGTGTTGGACAAGCCACAGATATGCCCAAGAAAAAAAAATCGGTTATTAACTACCCAAACATACCATCTGCGATGACACCTGTGCCTCACAGTGACGAAAATCCTATTCCAAAACCCCCAGAATCCTACACTTGCGAATCAGAAAACGAATCAGATCATGGCGATCGAGTGATTCGTCAGGAAGAAGATATGCCATCAACGTCAAGAGATCCTGATTTTATACCGAGCACGTCATGCCACCAACCGCACAAAATAACACAGTCAGAATTAAATGATCTTGTAAGAGATTTAGAACTTCCAAAATGTAAGGCAGAGTTACTTGGATCAAGACTGCAGCAGTGGAACTTGTTACAAGACGATGTTTCGGTATGTGTTTTTCGTAAACGCCACAAAGACTTAGAACCATTTTTCAATATGGAGAATAACTTGGTTTTCTGCAGTAACATTAACGACTTACTGGCGGCTTTAAATATAAACTATAACCCAGAAGAATGGAGATTGTTTATAGACAGTTCAACATTGAATTTAAAGGCAGTGTTATTGCATATTGGAAATATTTTACCATCTCTTCCTGTAGGATATGCAGTTCACATGAAAGAATCATATGACAATATGAAGTACCTATTGACATGCATAAAATACGATGAGCACCAATGGCATATTTGTGGCGATTTGAAAGTTGTTGCACTTTTACTTGGGCTGCAGCTCGGCTGCACAAAGTTTTGCTGTTTTTTGTATGAATGGGACAGTCGGGCAAAGGCACTTCATGACACCAGACAAAACTGGCCTGTTCGTCAATTCCTAAAAATGTACAGCATATGCCATTAGTAGATTCGAAAAAAAATCTATTACCACCACTGCATATCAAGTTGGGCCTAAGGAAAAACTTTGTCAAGGCATTAGATAGAGATGGGTCAGCTTTTCAATACCTGCGTCAGAAATTTCCAAGACTAAGTGAGGCAAAGGTTAAAGAAGGTATTTTTGTTGGTCCACAGATTCGAAATATTTTGAAAGATACACAGTTTGAAAACACTTTAACAGGTATTGAAAAAACTGTTTGGAATGATTGCCGTCTGGTGCTCACTAATTTCTTGGGAAATAGAAAAGCTGACAACTATAAAGCCCTTGTCAAAAATATGCTGTCATCGTATCAAAAGATGGGCTGTAATATGTCTCTTAAGATACATTTCCTACACTCACACCTGGACTTTTTTCCTGACAATTGCGGAGCCGTAAGTGATGAGCACGGCGAACGTTTTCATCAGGATATTTCAACAATGGAAAAAAGGTACCAGGGAAAGTGGAATCCTTCCATGCTTGCAGACTACTGTTGGACTCTTGGTAGAGATGCTCCAGAAACGATCCATAAAAGAACAGCAAAAAGACACCGCATATAGTGATTCTTATAAGTATATGAATCTTGTTACTTTTTTTAATATATCCTTAAAAATAAAAAGTTTTTTTTCTAAACCGCAACTAATTTTTTTATTTCATTGTCATTTTTGGATTCAGCGCCCCAAAATTAACAAAGAGGTGCACTTTTCCCACAAGATACAATAAAAAAACTAAAATTTGTTGTCCAGTGGAATCGGTACCCCACTATTAATGAAGAGAAATTCAAATTATTCATATCTGATCAAAACATTTTAAAAAAAGGTTACGCGATTTAACGCGTGACAACGCGAAAATAAACAAAATGCATTAACGAATTACCAGTGCGAAGCTTTCTCGTTATACTCGTATTCTCGAAGAATCGTGTCTTGTAACCTGCATTTTTTGCTTTCAGGTCCCTCAGGCTGTTTTTTAGTGACAATAGTTGTACCTGCGGCCAACTGGTAGTCGCCTCTAGGGAATCACAGTACAAAATCCTACATTTTCACCACGGTGGACTAGATCACTTAGCTCAAGTGCTGCACCAGTGGCACTCTTTACTCCACAGTATCAAGGATGCAAAAGGTAATCAAATCCATGAAAAATTACACGTGAGCGGCCACAGTTTAGTCAAGTATGGGACAATTTGATTTAATTGTCTTGCGATACGAGGGAGGTCCGATAAGATGCTACTACACACCGCCCGATGTCGAGAGAGAAATTTACTATCGTGTACAGTATATTCAGATAAGAGATAGACCGGACATAAACAAGACCACGTGATCATCGAACGCTGTAACATTCGGCATGGACGTATTAAGAGTCACGCAGTACATATTTTAGATAGTAGATGCTGCTTTGCGTAACTTTGTAGTAAATTAGCACAATTCGATGTGTATACGATTGGTGATGGATATAGGACCATGTGGGGATGGGGTAAGAAATATATAATGATGTAAATATACATAAGGGTTTCAAAGTTTTCGCTTCGATTTCCAGCTTCGGATGCCGCCTGATGTTCGGTGAAATACAGTCGAATATAATCTCAAAATGGCGTTTAAATTAGCCTAAATTAAAAATAATCGTATATCTCTTAAAATTGCTTTTAGAATATTGATTAGTATATTTTTTGATTTCTAGGTAAATACGTAACCAAATTAAAACGTTCAAAACGTAAAAAAATGTGCATGGTTGAACATTGTCAGAAAGTAGATTCTTGAATAGGTTTTGCCAAAATGGGTTCAAAAATGTCAATAATTAATTAAGAAATACAGTAGCTTTATAATTACTTATAACTTACCGAATTTGATGAACGACATCTTTTATTGGAAAGATGAGCTTGATGAGCTTTCATCATCGCTACTGCCTGAAGCACCAACGTCAGTAATGAATGGCTCGACTTGTTCCTCTAAAATATTGTCCAGTTCCCACATTCTCTTTTCAACTTTGTCTTTCACGTGCTTAATACAGTTTTCCCATTTTTGCGCTGTTATTAATTCTAGTGCTTCTTTGAAAAGTCCTTTGAGGTCACAAAATTTAAAAGTTGTATTGTGCTTAGCTATATAATTTTTAACCTCTGCCCATATGAGGTCAATGGGATTGAGCTCGCAATGGTATGGAGGTAAACGGAGCACAGTTTTATTTTGACTTGCTGCCATTTCGTCAATGGCGTATTTTTTATATTCCGCCTTGTGATCCTTGACAATTCTTAATAATTGTACTTTCAGCATTGCTTCTTCAAAGTTGATATTTTTCGAGCGGAGCCAATTTTGAACATCAACTTTCCTTGAAGCCGTTGTTGGGACCTTCTCCATTCTTCGAGAATGATAAGGCGCATTATCCAACACAATTACTGCGTTTTCCTCTAAGTTCGGTAAAATTTTTGAAAACCACTGTTCAAACGATTCGCCATTCATTTCCTCGTGGTAATCTCCAGTTTTCTTAGACTCAAAGCACCACAGACCGTCAACAATAAATCCATCCTCACTGCCAATATGGCAGATAATCAGCCTTTTCCCTTTACCTGGAAATCGAAGTACTAACTGGTGTAGATTTATTTCAATAAGCGAACCTTTTTCAAATGTTTTCATCACATTCAGCGAAAAAACATTGAGACATGAGTATCAGATTGCTATAATTGGGATTATTTAGTCATATTGAAAGAAAGAATATTGAACGTCGTATGATTACTCAGCGCTTCACAATTTAATTTAAAGTTATAAACCTTTAAAAAATGAATGATCAGGAACCTGAAATACGCGCAAATATTAATATTAACAAATTATAACTTTATAAAGCTTAAAGTATGAATTAAAATGATTAGAAATATTAGGAACGGTACACAATATAAAACTTAGTAACTTTTTTTAAGTTTATAATATTCGACATATTTTAAGATTATATTAAAAAATTATTGAAATATCGAAAACACATAAAAACATGGATTAAAAAAGTTCTAACAAATGAAAATGACAATAAAACATCCACGCATTTTATCGAAAGTTATAAAAGTTTTGTTACTTGTAATATGTTTTATCTGCCCCCTGGAATTAATGTTTAGAACCTTGTTCCCAAGGTTTGAAAAACATCCGATTGTTGTCTATTACTCGTATTTACCTGCTGGATTTTTTAATCCGGTGGACAGTCCATCTAGAAAGGCCCTCCTGGATGAAGTTACAGAATCATCAACCCATACTTTACTTGTAGTGTGTCCTGCGTTTACCCACGTTTCATCAAGGTAATAAATCTTCCTGTTTTGATTTCTATATTTCCCAATTTTTGTTAAATAATCCCTCCTCCATAGCACAATTTCTTCTCTATCCAGTAGTAAACTATTACGACCCCGTTTTTTCCATTTGAAATTTAAATGCTTCAGTAATGCATGGAACGTTGATCGTTTGAAATTTGGCAACGTTGTATCTCCATTTACCTCCTGCAGTACTTTATCTATAGTAGGTATTTCATTCCTAAAGAAGAATTCATGCACTTTCCTCCTAATCGCATGCTTATCAGCTTCATCCAATGATTTAACAATACTTTTGCGATGTTTACTGGTCATTGGCTCAGAAAAGGTGTGATTTTTTTTGTATTGTCTTAACAGATTGAACACTGATGCGCGACACACCCCAACTTTGTGAGAAACCTTCACAACAATTTCTTTGATGGTTGATGCCTCGTTCTCCTCGCGCTCGATCTTATATATATTCAAAATGACCTCTTTAATTTCTGCACTCAGGTGTCTTTTTTTAGAGCGTTTCCTAGGTGGACTACAGGAGTTTACAACTTCATCGGCAGTATCTGTACTACTGGGCATTTTGCGCAAGCAGTTGATAACAATAACAATCAATAACAAGGTATAACAATAACAACGACAAACTCAACAACTTAATAAGATAACAAACGAAAACGTCCAAAGAAATATCAAATTGCAATGATGCACACGACATACGTAACACGTCTGAATCTGAATGTGACTCTGCCTTGATACGACTGCTCTGCCGCTCGGCATAGGCATTTAATTGCGAATTGACCAATGAGGGCTCCTGTTTTACGTCGAGACGGCGGCGTTAGCGTGAAAATCACCCGAACCTTTTGTTTACATCCGGTCTATCTCTTATCTGAATATACTGTAGTTTTGTTTTGACCGCGGACTTTAGAACGGTGGAAAAGGAGCAATATCGGTCAGTGATTCGATTCTTGTTTTTGGAAGGGAAATCGCGCTTGGATGCTGTGTACGGTTTTTGGTGGGTCTTGCCCAGGTGTCCTGAAAACGGCTACCACGGAGGATCACGTGGCAAAAATCTACGATCTCTTATCGGCAAACCGCCCACTGAAGGTGCTCGAGATAGCTGAGGCAATAGGCATCTCGAAAGACCGCGTAGGTCATATCCTGCTTGAAATATTGGGCATGAGAAACCTGTCTGCGCGATGGAAGCAGCGTTTGCACACTCCGGACGATAAGCGCAGCCAGGAGGCCACAACACAGCAGTGCTTCGCGCCGTTTAAGCGCAATCCGAAGGAGTTTCTGCGTCGTTTCGTGACCATGGACGAAACATGGATCTACTGGTATACACCAGAGACCAAGGAACAGTCAAAACAGACATACTTCACACAGCGAACGTGATACGGAAAGATGATGGCCCCCCTTTTACAGGATGCACAAGGTGTCATCTACATCGACTACCTCGAGAAGGGCAAACTGGTCACAGGGCTCTACTATGCCGAATTATTGGGCCGATTCGACGCCGAATTGCAGAGAAACGACTCCGTTTGGCGAAGGAAAAAGTTATCTTCCACCACGACAACGCCTCGGCTCACACCTCCGCCATCGCCACGCCAAATTGGTCGAATTAGGTTACAAACTACTACCGCTTAAACCGTATCCTCTCGATTTGGTCCCGAGTGACTTCTTTTTGTTTCCAAACTTGAAAAAGACTCGCTGGACAGAAAGGAGGTGGGCTGATAAGAACCATTTTTCGCCCATCAGCGAATATACCGCAAAGTTGGGGTTTTCCTTTACACGACGTGTAGATCTTGAAAACATAAGCAATTTTTCTTGGTACCATATACACCAATGTCTTAAGGGAACCGAGATAAAGGGCTCTGCAACATCAAAAATATCTGAATACCGTCCTGTAGCCGCGACCCGCGACATCACCGAGTGGTACAAGGTCACTGGCTCAACAGAACTGGGTCGGGGTCAGTGTTTCAGGTCAGCATGCAACCTTCAACCGACGGTTACGGTCACGCGTGTAGAGGTAATCGCGTAGACGAGAATCCCTCAACAAGCACTAGAGACGTGGCTAGAGAAGTGCAAGTATCATAAACTAAAGTGTGGCAAACGCTGCGTGAAGAGGGGCTGTATCCGTTTGCGGTTTTGTGAGAGGTTGTTGCATCAACATGACAATAATCCGGACTTTTTGAAGTGCATATTGGTGACAGACGAATCTACGTACACGCGTAATGGGGTGAATAACTTTCGCAACACTCATGTTTGGTCAGTAGAAAATCCGCACGCTGTCCGTCGGGCACATTTTCAATAAACATTTTCGGTGAATGTTTGGGCTGGCATGGTGAACGGTATTCTACCATTTATTCTCCCAAATCGATTGGACGGGATGCAATACCTAGACTTTTTACGCAACATTTTGCCTTCCTTGTTAGAAGATGTGCCATTAAGTGTAAGACAATCAATGTGGTTTCTGCACGATGGTGCACCGCCCCATTTTAGACGCGAAGTGCGTGAGTTTTTGAATGAATTATTTCCGAATAGGTGGATCGGACGTAATGGACCCGTAGCGTGGCCTCCGCGATCTCCAGACTTAACACCGTGTGATTTTTTTCTTTGGGGAGAAATGAGACGCTTAGTGTACAAAACTCAAGTGCATACGGTTGACGAACTTCGTCTCAGAATTGAACAAGCTGGTGCTTTCATTCGGGGGAGGGACTCCATTCTCAAAGCCTGCACCGATGCTTGGCTGCGTCGTGCACGCACCTGTGTTTTTGAATCAAACGGCGATAACTTCGAACAATACCTATAAAGTACGTTTACCTAAAAACTGAAAACGCGGCAACGCCGTCTTATTTGTTACCTCTGTTCGTGGTCTGCACCACCGCCCGCGTCTGCTCGGTAGCGCATCAGCTGATTTCATTTTCTGTTGGAACGGTACGATTTCAGGCAGAGACGTCAACTGGAGAGTGAGTACTTTTTCCTTTATTTTCTTTTACTTGGTCGCCCTCGTTTCACTACACATTACCTTTGTTATTTCAAGGGTAGTTGTTTCTGAAAAGGAAAACCCCAACTTTGCGGACACCCTGTATATGACATATATATTTATGAAAAGTATACTCTATAACATAGAAGAAAGCCTTGATCTGCTGGTGCGCAGTTCGCACGATTTGTTAAACCAGCCGTTGGACCGTGGTTCAGGCACTTTCTCTGTATAAGGGATGTATTCCTCCATCCCAACGTGGATAGTTCGATGAACAGATAGCCGACGTATAAGCTTCAGCGAAACAAATATCTTTCCAAGGAACGAGAAGAGAAGAGAAAGAAGAAGTCTCTGAGCCCCTCCCAGTCCGCATGTCCGTAATGCCAGGTTTTGCGGCCTAGACGAGTTTCTGCAGCAACAGCGGGTTCTGACAGAAACCGAACCTCCATAAGTACGTGGTTTAAGTTATCCAAGGGAAACAGGACATCAGAGCTGTAAGGGACAGGATGCGTGGTCGTGGCTACGGCAGTAGCGGCAGCTGCTGGAGGAAAGCTAAGAAACTATTCTCCACATAACCTGCTTTGTCCAGTCTCGAGTACTACTTACATATTCGGGGTGCTGCCGCCCCGAATACAGTATCCATGCCCAATTCTGTTCCGAGGAGAGCTGTCTGACTGATTCATGACTCTTCTCGGTATCCTTCGGAGATCTAGCTCGCCTCCACCACTGCGCCTAAGGGCTTTACTCTCAGCCTCCTAAACCGACCCGCCCAAGTTCAGTCTCCCATCCTAACCATGTTGAACTCCGTACATCGAGAACCGGTCGGTACTACCGCTCCTTTGTCCCTAGGGTGTCGAGATTGTTGAACAATCTGCCTGAGGACACATGTCCCAGTTCTACCAGCCTTAAGCAGTTCTAAAAGTGTCTTTAAGATCTGGTCAAGCGGCTACTTCCGTATAAAGAAAACCGATACTTACTTTGTGCTTTGGGCCTCACAGATTCCTAACTTTTTTCTACTTGACACTTTTTTATAGGATATGAAGAAAACTTGCCGTACCGTCACTTCATGGTGTGCCGACCCGAAGTTTCAGTGTTAGAACTTCATCCCGAAGAGGGGCAAGTGCCTAAGTTGACCGAGGAGGTATTCAGGAGTTTGTTTAATGAACAAGGGCAATTGGAAGACGATTTAATTATCCGTAAATACGTATTCTTCTCTGGAATGGATAGGAACATCAGGAGAGAAGTATGGCCTTTCTTATTGCATGTATATCCGTACCAAAGTACCTTCGAGGAGAGAGTGCAGATTGCAGAAATTAGAAGACAGGTATGAAAGGAATTATATAAAGACTAAAATAAGTCTCAAAGCTGTCAATTAATATTGAAAAACATCTTATTGTATTCAAAAGTATAGCAATTTATAAACGATATTCGAGGGTCATTTTTTAAGCGAAAACTGTTTTGAAAATTATCACAAACTGGAAAAATAGTGTCAAGTTCATAAAGGATCAAGTTCATCGCAATTTAAATCCTCAGTCAAACAGACAAATACCCCCCTTCTGGTAGTTACTGTCCATGTGGCAATGTTGTCCTTTTCCACATTTTTCGTGGCATCCTGCGATATATGCGTATATGTTTTTTACTCCCGCATGGATAAATATACAGGGTGATCGAACAATCAGACGGAGATATTTTAGAAGGTAATTCCTTGTTAAAAAATATGAAAAAAGTTTCTATAAAGATGGATCCGGAAATGTAGAGTTTTCAAGATACAGGGTGATAAATTTTTTTATTCATATCTTGAAAAATATTTACTCTACTCTGTTGAAATTTAGGCTCTTACATTTAACTGCATTTGTATCTGTTTGTAGGAGGGTAGATAAATAAATAAATGAATAACCCGTCTGGCACAACTAATAAGAGCCCCTTCCCACTTCAGTTGGCCCACTTCAAGATTTGTACCAAAATATGCCTTTATCAGCTAAACATGACGAAACTATTTACTTCTAAAACAATTTATTTTCTCAAAAAAATTTTAGATACGCTCTATACTATAACTATCTAAAACTGTAATGACTCATCGATGTTCACGTGAACATCACTTAACTACCAGTAGTCGGCTGTTCATAGGCGGGGTAAGAATGTTTAACATGGGTGAACTAGATTTGTCACATGCTTAATAAAGAGTGGTTTGAAACATATTGTAAGTCAAAGATTTGGGAATTTCCTTTATTCATCGTCGCTTCCACTTACGTCTGACAGTAATGAACTGTCGCTATCGCTTTCCTCGTTGAAATTGACTATAACTGGCTCTATGATGTTGTCGATGTGGTGGTCAAGCTGCCACATTTTTGTTTCTTCCTTCACAACATGACGGATAGCATTCTGCCAAGCTTCGGGCGTTACTAGCTGTCTGGAAGTCTCAAGTAAAACCTTAACGTCTGGTAATTTGAAGGTTGTGTTATGGCGCGCAATATAACCCTTCACTTGAGCCCAGATGAGCTCTATTGGGTTCAGTTCACAGTGGTAGGGCGGTAACCGCAGCACAGTGACACCACATTGACGGGCCATCTCATCAGTCAAGTAACTAATGTTCGCAGGTTTGTGCTGTTTAATTTTTTCATACAATTCCGCTTTCACACATGAATCGTCAAACGGGATTCCTTTTTCGCGCAACCATTGCTGCGTGTCACTTTTTCGAGATCCCATAGTCGGTACACGTTCGGCTCGACGACTATGGTAGGAAGCATTATCCATGACGATCACAGAGTTGGGCTCAACTCGCTGAAGCACCCCTTGAAACCAGCTCTCGAAGCAGCTGGCATTCATTTCGTCATGGTAATCACCTCCTTTCTTAGAGACGAAAATCAAGTCACACTCTTCTAAAAAGCCACTATCGCTGCCAATATGAGTTACGATCAATCTTTGACCTTTCCCTGACGGTCCAGGAAGACCTGTTGACAAACCTTCAATGCTTGCTTGTCGGTTACTCACTACGTTTTTGTCTATCCAGGTTTTTTTAACTGTGTGACCTGCATTTACCCATGTCTCGTCCAAATAATAGATTTTTCTGCTTTGTCGCCTATATTCAATCATTTCGCGTAGGTATTTTCGACGCCAGGCGACTATTTCAGGTCTCTCTATCAATACTGACTTCCGATTACGCGTTTCGTAACGAAAATTAATTTCGTGCAGGGATTTCCTCATTACCTCGACGCTCATTTGGGGTATAATTTCATTTTCCTTGATCGCTGCATGTACAGCCTTGAGGGTTGGTATCTCATTCCTAAAGAAGAATGAATGTACGGTTCGCCTTAACGCCATTTTGCTATCGTCATCCAATTTAACGGCCTTTCGTCCCTTCAAATTAAACTTTGGATCAGTAGTAGCTCCAGTTTTCTTCTTTTCATGGACCACCCTGCGAATGGTCCACTCTGGAACACCTGTCATACTTTCACAACACGCGAGTGCATCTCCCTGCGACATAGTTCTGTTCAGATAATTGAACACGTTGAGCACGATTTCTTTCGCGTCCCTCTTCAGTGCTTTACGAAGCCGTCTACTTGTTCCCTGGCTTTCAGTACTTCCACTCGTGCTATTTGTACTCTCCATGGTTAAGTATAACCAAAACAGTAACCACAACAATAACAATCACACAACAATTCTTATAAAAACTCACAATATGCGATCGCTCAACGAAACACGTTCCAATACGTTGCCGACGCCTATGAGTCTGCCGGTCGAGGCGCGACTTTGATTTCATTGGTTCTACCGGCGGAGAACGATCAGCCATTATTTCCATCTCTGTCTGTACTGTTGACCACCGCAAAGCCACAGAAACGACATATGTCGTACGCTATACGGCTGTACTGGAAGGAAGCCGGGATCGAGCTCTGATCACGTGTTGATCACGCGTATGAGCCATTACAGTTTTAAATAGTTGTAGTATAGTCGTAAAAAATACATATTTGAAATCACTTAGACCTATAACTAATAGAACATGTGAACAAATAAACAATGTGCGAATAAATGCGCGAAGTTAACAAAGCAACAATTGAAAGATTACCATTGGGTAGCATCACCTTTATTTTTTATTACGGCTGAAATTTTTTGGGGCAAGTTTTGGCAAAAATTTGGTGTAAAACAATCTCATATTTCTTGAAGCTTTTAGTGATTGTACGAGCAGGATGTTGTCGTAGAACCTTTTTCATCTCGTGCCACAAAGTTTCAATAGGTGACAGGTCTGGACTGCTAGAAACCCATTTCAAAAGTGGTACATTATTTTCTTTCATCCATTTTATATCCTTTTTTGAGGTATGGCACGCTGCACCATCTTGCTGAAACACAAAATCTTGGCCGGATGTCAAGTGGTAAAAGCGATTCTTCTAAAATTGCCAAATATTTGTTTGTATCCACATTTCCATAAATAAAATGAAGTTTTCCTACTCCTTTTGATGACATACTGCCCCAGACCATAATGGATGCTGGAAATTTTAATTTTCTCTTCAGATAGTCAACATGAAATGCTTCATTTTTTTTTGCGAATAACTCTACTGCAACTGTCACCAACACAAACTTCGAAGCGGGCCTCATCACTCCATTGTATTGTACACCATTGTTGAGGTGTCCATTGTCTATGTTCTTTAGCCGATTTTTCTTTTGCAGTGGAGTTAATAGTGGCTTTTCTTTGGCCTATAAACAAGTTGTGTAACTTTAGGGTTTTTATTTCACTTTTTTTTTATAAGAAAACTTACCTTGCAAGTGCTAAATCCCAGTTTGTGGGCCTCTCTATGAGTTGTGGACCTCGAAAGTCTCCTTCCAACAGCGTCACTCCACAGAGCACTTAATTGTAAATAATTGGCACGCCTGTTCTTCACGATTATTCTTCTTAATGCTCTTCGGTCGGCATTTGCCATATTACTTTTTTCACATATCGTGGCTTAATATTAACTGAACCAGTTACGTTATGTCTTCTAACAATATTTCTCACACTGTACCGCGATAAGTCTAACAAAATTGCAATTTTCGAGTTTGATTTCCCAGGATTAAAAAATTTAATTATTAGTAACCGAATTTTCTCACTAATAACCTTTCCTCTACCTCTACCTTAACTACCCAAAACTATTTTAAACGTATCCTGACAGCTGCGATTAATAAAAACTATTGTCATGGCTTTTATTTTGCCTATGCGTTATAGACTTATTTTGCATTGAAATGAAAATAGGTTGATATGCTGTAATTGCAACACGTGTTATTTTTGTGCTGCAAATTTGATTAGGGAGTGATAAAGTTGGTGTTTTCTACTATATAATATCAAAACATTCATTGTTAATATTTTAAACCTGCTACATTTTTATTATTAGTGTTTGATAAGAACAAAACTAAGATTTACACAGTTGGGCCAACTGAAGTGGGAAGGGGCTCGTAGATATACGTCATGGGCAGTATAATGTTTATAATTTGCATCTTTCCAAACAAATAATTTTGTCTAAGGTTGAACGGAAGTCACGTCACGCGACAAGATGCGCGGTCACGATGCGCAATCCGTTCCCACTTAAAAAATGGCCCTCGTGCACAAAAGATCGGCGATTGCATATGATGTGTATGCTTTCCGTCTCTGTAACCATAACCAACTGTATACAACGTTGATTCATGTCTGTATACATTTACATCAAAGCTGGTATAGTTGTAGTCACTGTTCTGCGCGGGTCAAAGTAAGACTACCAGTATCCCTTTATATATCTCCATCTACCTCATACACACACATGCAACCTACCCCTGTGTGTGAACGTTGGTTCGGTAAGCTCAACGACATAAGTTTTTTAGTGGTGTCTCCATCTCGAAAACTTTGTCGTTACGTATGAGTGTCCTTCAACCATATTTGTCAGAGTGACAACTTACTTGACATCGGCGTGCAATTCGAGTTGTCCTGTTATCAGTCTTCAATATAAAATTGTACAATGCCCGGAAATACGATCAATGGAGAAGGCCGAAAGCGTGCTAAATTTATTAGAGTATTTCCAGGAAGGGAATGAAAACAGTGGTCCCGTGTAACCCACTTCATGCGTACTGGAAAGAGTAGCAGATGTGGTGAAAATCAGTCTGCGCAGTGTTCCACTCACGGTACGGAGACTCGATGTGTGTATACTTTATCTGAAGTCACTTGAAACACTGTGAAATACCGGGTGCGTTTTATATTACTATATTTAATACGCTCTGTTGCTGCAAAAATCGCCAAATTTCGCAGCAAATAAGATATAAGATAGTATAAGATCAAAGGCAGTTTCACCGGTCCACGTGGAGTAAAGCACGCCTATGCGTGGACATAGCCAATGAGAAAGCGTGTATTTCAGAGCTCCGAACAAGTGCAGGTGGCTACTGAAAATTGAAACAGTTTAGCCAGTGCCGTGTAGCGGTGAATAAACGTATTTTCTTTAGTCTGTCCGTGTTTTTTCATAGATTTTATTAGTTTGTGTGTTTTTGACTTTTGAATACTCAGTTTACTTGTTGATTTAATTGTTGTGTTGATTGTTCTTGTGTGTCCTAAATATGGCTCTTTGGAGACCTTGGGAAAATGCTCCAAGCCACGAGGAGATGGTTGATGAACCTGTGCAGGCAGAATTCTTTCATAAAGATTTAGAGGAACAGACCCAAAGAGTAATCCTAAATATGATTGTCTGAAAAACGAAAATCCAGATTCCTCGCAAAATCAAATTTTAAACAGAATTTGTATCCTGACAAAAAACAATCGGTCTACCATTTATCGGGTTATAAAAAGGGGAGATGTAGTCAACCATTCCTTCCACAGAAAGCGCATAGGGCAAAAATTAAAAAGAATAGAGGTGGGTTTTCAGGAAGATATTCGTCGTATAATATACGGATTTTATAAAGAAAATTTGGTGCCCACGTTGGAAATGATACGGGATAAATTAAAAGATTATCCTGGAGATTTTTATAATTACAAATGCTTAGACTCACTGCACTGTATTGTAAAACTGTGTGGTTTTCAATACAAAAAATTAGATAAAAGAATGGTGATTATGGAGTCGTCTCGAATCGTTGAATTGCGCCAAGAATTTTTACACAAAGTTAAAATCTATAGAGAGCAGAAAAGAAATCTGATTTACCTGGATGAAACGTGGTATGATACCCATGATGTTGTGCAGTACGGCTGGGTTCGAATTATTATTCTCCATGCTGGCAGTGAAAATGGATTTATACCTAATGCCTTGCTGTTATCTGCCAAAAATATCAAAGAATCATGTGCCGACTATCATGAGGACATGACCTCCGACTTATTTGAAAAGTGGATAGAGCAGCAGTTAATACCAAACATTTCCCCAAATTCAGTGATTATTATGGACAATGCGCCATACCATTCCCGACAGAAAAACAAAATTCCGAATACAGGCACAAAAAAACAAGACATTATTGATTTTATGAAGGATAAGGGAATGGAAATACCACAAAAATCAACCAAAGCCATATTATTGGATCTTATTAAAAGACAAAAATTTGAAAAAGAGTATGTTGTTGACAATCTGCTTCAGCAAAATGGCCATGAAGTATTACGTCTACCTCCCTATTACTGCATTTTTAACCCGATTGAGTTGGTCTGGGCTGCTTTAAAAAAAAAGTAAGAAAACATAATCAGACCCCTCAATTAAGTGAATCGCTATTGGCCACAATAAGAGATGCAGTATCTCATATTGCTGCCACAGACCTATGGAAGCAGTGTTCTAGGCATATTATTGAAAAAGAAAATGAATATTGTGTTTTGCCTCCTGTAAATCCCGTTGTAATTCCTCTACAAGATGACTCTAGCGACAGCTCCGAAGGCGAGGATGATATATAAATTCCTATAATGTAAGTCTTTATATACCTTTTTATATACCTACCTGCTATGTAAATATTTGCCTATGTCAAACGTTGGAATTCTGTAATTTTTCCATTTCTTAACTTTCAGTCAACATAAATTAAACTCCCAATATAATTATTTTTTATCCCAAATCAAAAAAATAAGAAGATAGTAAAATCCATTTATTGTGATATAAAAACATTATTATTATCGTTCTAAATAAATGATCGCACGCCTATGATACGTCATGAAATTACAAAGGACGCGCCGACCAAAGGTTTTTATGCTATTTCAAGTGACTTCAGATAAACCATACTTATTTCATATGGCGTTGATGCCGTAAACGCTAAGAACGGTTACCAAAACTATAGCAGGGCGACAAGTGACACAATAGTACGGTCAATTCATTTTTAATTTTACTTCTATTTAAAAGCTACTCCCATTTTTTGCTCCTTGATACGAATTTGTATGTATATCGATAGTATCATAAGCTTATATTTCTTGACATGTTAGATACGAGGGTTGTCTCAAAAATAAGGTTCCCCACGCTGTATCTTTGCCGCGCTTGATGATAGGCGAAATCTGGCAACACCGTCGTGTTTGTAGACACCCCCACTGCCGATCCCAACAAGAACCGCCTATTTGCGTTCCTCAGTACCGGCCCGACAACCATGCATACGAAGTTCGTGCGGTCATCCGATTTCTGCATGACAAAGTACAAAACTGCATTTCATGTCTAAAAAAAATGCGTACAAAACATGACGAAATGGCTTAAGGATCAACGTTTCCAATGGTGAATCTTTTTTTTTCAAATAAAAAATTCCTTGTGCCTGAAAAAATGTGGGAACCATATTTTTGAAACAACCCTCGTACATAAATAACTATTATACATTTCAGGAATATGAAGAAATAAGTAGGCGGCGACTGGACTTGAACGAAAACCAAGTTAATCATTTTAAGCGAAAAATTCAAAGCGTAGTGGAAAAGGATGTAGTACGGACTGACAGGGGCAATCCATTTTTTGCTGGTGATAACAATCCTAACCTTACAATAATGAAGAATATTTTGTTGAACTATGCTGTTTATAACTCTGGATTGGGATACACTCAAGGTAGATTTGTTTTTTATATGTTGAAGCAGCCGCGCAGGCAGCAGCCTAAATGCCAAAACACCGCGGCTGCTATGATGATCACAAAGAAATTCTGTTAATACGACTTTTGAACTATCTAAGGTTAGTAGAACTGGGAAAAGCCTCCTCTTGTAGATCGTTCCACAGTCCCGACACTCTCGGGACAAAGAAGCGGTCGTATCGCCCAGTTCCGGATGTACGCACCTCGACGCGGTTAGGATGGGACGCCAAAGCCTGGGCCTTGTATAGAGTGAGGTCATGCGGAGAAAAGTACTTCTCAGCCCTGAACAAATAGCCTAGCTTTTTCCCATCAGCTGCCGCTATTGACGATATGTGTTCGTGCCAGATCAGGTCCTCGACCAGCCGAAATACCGACCGGCTCTTTGACGGAACTCGGGCATCCATCGAAACCGGTTGCGTCCCCAAGCAGTGATAGCCTCCAGGTGTCTTGTCAGAGAGGATGTCGTCACTAGCCTTCTTTTTGCAGAAAAGGAGGTCGGTGATATGTAAGAGCCAAGACCGATCCCTGGGGAACACCCGCGTTAACGTTATGGGATGAAGAGGAGAATTCGTCAGTTCCGACGGATATCTTGCGGCCAGAGATAAGGTCAGCCACTCATCTGCAAAGCTTTTCTGGGAGGCCATAGGATGGAGGTTTGCTTAAGAGGGCAGCGTGCCATAGCTGATCGAACGCTTTCGTGATGTCAAAAGCAACGACATGGGCCTCACCATAAGACTAGATGAGTTTACTCCACAATTGCGTGACGTAAGCTAGGAGGTCCCCTGTGGATCGTTGGTGCCGGAAACCGTACTGCCTGTCGCTAATCAAGCTGTGACGTTCGAGGTAGTCCAGAAGCTCGCGATTTATGCACCCCTCCATCACTTTACTTATGACAGAAAGCAGAGCTATAGGCCTGTAGTTGTAAGTTTCGATTTTAGATCCTTTTTTTGGGATGGGCTGTACATGAGCAAATTTCCAGTTTTCTGGGAAGGTGCCGGATTCATAAGATATCTGGAAGAGACGCGAAAGAACTGGAGCAAGCTCAGCTGCACATCTCTTCAGTACAATGGCAGGAATCAAGTCCGGACCAGAAGCTTTGTTGATGTCGAGCGACAAGAGCACTCGTCTTACGGTCTTATGCCTGAATGTTACCTCCCGCATAGTGTGGGGAACCCTTTGAATTGACGGCACTTGGGCGTTGGTGGGAACGTCCATGGTGGAGTTGGCAGCAAAGATCTTAACTAGCACTTCCGCCTTGGCCTTCGAGTCGAATACAATAGTTCCATCCTGACACGTAAGTGGTGGAAGGCTACTGTGTGAGAAGTTCTTTTCAATCTGCTTGGCCAGCGTCCAGAAAGACCGACTGCCATTGCGCTGCGACATTACCCCCTGCCTAACTTTTATATCATGCTGGTTTTTGGCACTGCGAACCGCTTCGTTATATTTGTTTCTGGACTCGACGTCGGCTTGTCTGTTCTCTACAGTGGGGTTTTGTAAGTAGGTTCTGTGGGCCTTGATCTTCTGCTGGCGAGCAGTGTCACACGATTTGTTGAACCAGCCGTTGGACTCTGGTTTAGGAACTTTCACTGTGTGAGGGATGTATTCCTCCATTCCGACGTGGATAATTTCGGATATTGAAGAACAGACAGTCGACGCATCCGCGTCAGTGAAAGAGACATCTCTCCAAGGAAAGCTAGAGAAGAAGTCTCTGAGCCCCTCCCAGTCGGCATGTCCGTAATGCCAAGTTTTGCGGCCTGTGCGAGTTTCTGCTGCCACAGCGGCTTCTGACCGAAACCTAACCTCCACAACACCGTGGTCTGAGTTACCCAGGGGAGACAGGACAGCAGTGCTGTAAGGGACAGTATGCGTGGTCAGAAAGAGATCCAGCAGGCTACTGGCGTGTGACGAGACGCGGGGAAAAAAAGTAGGGCTCGTCACCAGCTGGGTCAGCCCTTGAGTAAGAGCGGACGCTTCGACTGCATGACCTGCTGCACTGGTCTTGTTTGAGCCCAATCAAAGCTCATTGTGGGCATTGAAATCACCGAGAAGAACTACCTCTGAAGCGGAGTGATTGATGTTCAGGAAGTCGATCTTGACGGCGAGGTATTCCAGTAGGTCATGCCAGTTATGGCCCGAGGGACAGCAATAAAGGCAGCAAATAAATTTGGGTGATGTTTTGGAGTTGAGGCGAAGCCACAGAATGTCCTGCCGGTTTGATTAAAAAAAAACTCTGGAGCAAGAAAAACTGCTGCGGACAAAAGCCACTACTCCCCTGTTCTTTCTCAGATTGGAGTGCACCTCGTAGTTTGGGAAGTTAAGATGGTTCATCGGTGCAGACACCGAGATTTTTGTCTCCGCCAAGAAAAGCATGGCGGGACGATTGGATTGCAGGTAGTGATGAACAGCATCAATGTTGCTGTTAATCCCGCAGATGTTTGTAAAACAAATTTTATCTTCGATGTTGTTCCCTCGAGCCCACCCTCCACGTGGACATTCCGAGAGCGGAGTGAGTTTACGTCCGGAATTCTTGGTGCTCGAGGGATTCATCATCATTAATTTGTTTTGGAAGATAACCGACTGCATAGCTTAGGTGTGGACCCATGCGGACATTTGTAAGACACTCTGGGAAAAGCTGAAGATTGAATAAATTTGCTTACAAAAATTGATTTTGTAAAATTTAATGTCCGCATACTTTTACTCCTAAAAATGCTGCCGTCCGTTCGACCAAAACAGCTGTTTTGTACTGTTTAGCAACTCGTCAGCATGGTCTAGGCTTGGTCACTGGATTAACGTACGAGAGTATAGCAACTGTCCTCTGGCCGAGATGTGAGATCTATCGACATAAAACAGCGCAAAGCACCATCTATTACCACAATCGACCACTGCGCGAGTGTTTAGTAGCTATCGGTGGGATCTCAGCTAGCGGTTGATAGTCCAGTCAGCGACGTGGCCGTTAGAGGCTGACGATTGTGTTAGTATAGGAGAAGTGATGTATTCGCCGTTGAATTCTCACAATCTTACTTTTTAATTCATCTTGGTACATCGTTTAGGCCAAAGAAAATTTTATACGGAAATCGCTTAGATTTTTAATTTTTTAAAATAATTTTTCTGGAATTTATTTTTATTATTAAGTTGTAGACCGATTTAAAAAAGAAAGGTTTTCGATGCTGACTAACACGCTCTATGCGTTCCTGGAGCCTCTCATGGATAGACAAAACTGCAGCTTCGATTTCGGCTATTTCTTGCGGTATTGCATTACGAATCCGGTTGAAATTCAGGTTAAGAACAAGACATTGAGATGCGGCTTTCGCGAGCTTGTTTAGTCATCATTTAGCTGCTTTTTCAGAAAAAAACAATCATACCAATGCATTTAATTTTTTTGAGAAAATTAATCATTTATGTTGAAATGCCGAAAAAGCCCTCTAGCGGCTTCATGCGAAACTAACAAAACTTCAAATATAATATTTGTAGCTTAAAAATAGCTGTTTCCAGCTAGCTGAAGTCTGTTAAGATCGGCTAATCCCCTTTCGAAGATACAGGGTGTTTTTTACGGAAACTTTTGAATACCCCCACCACGTAATTTTTAGAGATTCTGCAAAAATTGTCAAACAAAAAAGGTTTAAATTATCCTTGAATTTGGGGGTCAGGGATTTTTTTGTTAGGTTAATATAGCGGGATTTATAAAAACATCACTTTTTTAGATTCAAGATTGCAGTTACGCTCCCTAGCGGCCATTTCAGAAATATTATATATATATATATATATATATATAGGTGAAAAATTAAAGCTTCCGCCTTTTGTTGGGTACTTCGACAAAATTTAAGCAAAGAGGACTCTTTATACTTTTTTTAATTCTCTCTAGCTTTCAATGGACTTTGCCATCATCATCAGGAGCTGCAATTACAATGATAACAGTAGCAACAAAAGTGTAAAATGAATTTAAATTGAATCAACTTACAGTAGTATGTGAGGATGTTGCTAATTGTTGTTTTCGTATAGGATGAGGGAAACGTCCAGTAACATGGTGAGAGCTGGATACATGGTACAATGGTTAAAATTATATAAAATATGACAAGACAAGTTAAAGACAGATTAAAAATTATTTAGAAAACATTAGAGCATTACGTCGTGAAGCCACTTGATGATTGCACAAAATGGTGGTCTTGGAATAATGAGTGAGATGAACCTTTGACAGAAGGCCGAAGGTTGTCAATGTCTGTGTTGAAAGATGAAACGAATTGTGGGCGTGTGCCAAAACGTTGCCAAATCACTTCAGATGATGTGATTTCAGAATGTTATGTAAGAAATTGTTAAACCGACCAGAGGCAGTTGAATAAACTATATTTTAATTCATGGGAATTTTAAATTAACAATTATTAATAAATCGTGAGAAGAGAATTATTAGATTTTGAGTGGAATGAAATTTGTTGGTGGAATCGGCCAAAACACAGATTATATTTATGGTTGTGATTCCACCAACAAATTTCATTCCACTCAAAATCTAATAATTCTCTTCTCACGATTTATTAATAATTGTTAATTTAAAATTCCCATTAATTAAAATATAGTTTATTCAACTGCCTCTGGTCGGTTTAACAATTTCTTACATAACATTCTGAAAGTCACATCATCTGAAGTGATTTGGCAACGTTTTGGCACACGCCCACAATTCGTTGACAACCTTCGGCCTTCTGTCAAAGGCTCATCTCACTCATTATTCCATGACCACCATTTTATGCAATCATCAAGTGGCTTCACGACGTAATGCTCTAATGTTTTCTAAATAATTTTTAATCTGTCTTTAACTTGTCTTGTCATATTTTATATAATTTTAACCATTGTACCATGTATCCAGCTCTCACCATGTTACTGGACGTTTCCCTCATCCTATACGAAAACAACAATTAGCAACATCCTCACATACTACTGTAAGTTGATTCAATTTAAATTCATTTTACACTTTTGTTGCTACTGTTATCATTGTAATTGCAGCTCCTGATGATGATGGCAAAGTCCATTGAAAGCTAGAGAGAATTAAAAAAAGTTTAAAGAGCTTTAATTTTTCACCTAACTGGTCTAGACGACAATGACCACGTCTAAAAAAAAAATATATATATATATATATACGAGCAGTAGTCGTTGCCATTGCCAACGACCAGTTGGGCAAAAAATACAATCAATTGTTAATTGGGAAATTGCCAAATTCTTTTTAGGCTTTAGTAAATTCTTTTAACGTTAATCTCGAGCTTTCGGCATCTCTATGGAGCCATCTTCAGGGGCTAAAAACACAAAAATGAAGCTAGCAACCAATATGGGAAGGATTTAAATTATCAGACAACTCGTCGCTGAGGTTGCAGCCAAATGGTGTTCAAAACGAAAGCGTGGAGAGAGAGCACTTGATACAAATATAAAACCAAAAGGACGGACACATTGGGTTTATTGATAACGACGGAAGCCATCGTTAGGTGTTAACACTGTATATCAATACACCCGAGCACATTAAAAAATTATAGAAAAGCAATTTTGGGGGAAAAATCGGCAAAGTCCCTTCTAACCTCCTACATCTGTTTCACGTGGAGAAAATGAGCGAACCGGAACAGTGATGCGTTGACAGATGACAGGTGATTGTCGCGAAGGAATGTGGAAGTGTAAACATCATCGCCAAACTTCAAGTATACTGTATACGAGGGAGGCTCGGTAAAAACTTTATATATACATATATATATATATATATATATATATAAAATTTAAGCAATGAGGACTCTTTATACGTTATTAATCTCTAGCTTTCAATGGACTTTGCCATCTTCATCAGGAGAGTAGTATTTGAGGATGTTGCTAAGTGTCATTTACGTTTAGGTTGGGGGAAACACCCAGTAACCTGGAGAAAGCTGGATACACGGTACAATCGTCAAAATTAATACAAACTACACACAGCTGTATGTCAGGAACAAATTGAAACGGATTAAAAATACTTAAAACGAAAGTTACATCGTGAACCACCTGATGTTGCACAAGATGATGGGCATAGAATCATGCTTAAATTTTGTCGAAGTACACCTAACTGGTCTAGACGACAATGACCACGTGTCAATATATATATATACAGGGTTATCCAAATTAAGTGTCCACCATTAGTAACTTTGTTATTAGTGAAAATACAAAGTTGTTTGAATTAGCAAACTAGTAGCATTTTTAACGCTGGTAAAAATGAGAAATAAAAAAAAACAATTGAGAGTCGTTATTTTGATTTTTTTCAGTAAAATAACATTTTTTAAATGGAAACCCCTGTATATTATATTTTTTTCTGTTAAAGCATCAAATTTTAAACAAAAAAGCTTATAATAACTTTTCTCCTAGGTTACAAATTGTTGAAGTTATGGCCTCCAATCTGAAACAATTAAATTGTATCGACAAACTTTATTTTCAACATCAACTTATAATCTTACAAAATACAATAACATTTTTTTTTAAAGAAGATGCTCGAAAACACCACCTTGTTCTTCAATACATTTTTGGGCACGTTTTTCAACTGCTCGAACTGTCTTAAGTATGGTCCTACCATCTATCTGGGTTATCTTTTCCCTAACTGCAGTCTTTAACGCGTCAAGGTTATCGTACCTTCGCTTGTAAATTTGGTTCTTTAAGTAACCCCACAAGAAGTAATCAAGTGGGTTTAGATCTGGTGATCTGGGAGGCCACTGTATTGGGCCATTTGTTCCTATCCACTGATCATTAAAAGTAGTACTTAGAAAATGATAAGTACCTCTGGAGTTGTGGGCAGGTGCGCCATCTTGCTGAAAATGCAGATGATGTCTACTTATAAGATCCAATTCGTCTAAGAAATTAGTCAGAATTTCTGACATAAATTCCACATATCTTTCACCAGTTAGGGTTCCCTCATAAAAGAACGGGCCAACAATTTTTGAACCAATTATACCGCACCAAACGTTGAAACTGAAACGGACTTGTGGGCCTCTTGGATGTTCTAACAAAAGATTTTCTCTTGACCAATAATGGTGGTTTTTTCTATTAAACATTCCAGAATTTGAAAAATTTGATTCATCTGTCCATAAAAGGTAACGAAAGTTATTTACATTTTGGCGACAGAAGCTAAGATACCAATGGCAAAAAACAAGTCTTCTCTCTGGATCCCCTGCCAAAAGCGTTTGAACTGGTCGGTACTTATACGGAATAAATTTGTATTTTTTAAAATCCTTTGAACAGTACCATAACTGAAATTAGAGTCCTTGAGAATATCTGCTATTGAATTCTCACGATAAGCTTCAAAATATCCAATAACTGCAATTTCCGTGGCCTCGCTTATTATGAATTCTTTTTTTGCCCTTGTTTTAGCAAAAAACATTTTCGTTGCCCCTAAATTTTCGATAAAGTCTCAGAAAATATCGTTCATACGGTTGAATGCCAGCGGGATATAATTCACTGTAGTATTCTCTTGCTCTCAAGGAGGATTTTCTGCACACTAAATAGCATTCTAACATATCACACTTTTCTTCATGGGAGAACATTTTTCTTAAATTAATGACACAATAAGCTTATAAACAAGTATTTACACTAATGTTTGACATTATTTGATTTTATCATTGTTTTCCAAAGCCTTCTAGTTGCGAGTATGTCCAGTTTAACAATTGTCGCTTATCTTAATGCTGTCAAATCGCGAACGCCATGTTGTTTTCATAGCCGTCTTAATATTATAATACTGCAAATAATTAAAAATATTTATCGTTATTTTGACTTTATTTTTGACTTTAGCGGAAAAGTCATTATGAACTTTTTTGTTTAAAATTTGATGCTTTAACAGAAAAAAATATAATATACAGGGGTTTCCATTTAAAAAAATGTTATTTTACTGAAAAAAATCAAAATAACGACTCTCAATTGTTTTTTTTTATTTCTCATTTTTACCAGCGTTAAAAATGCTACTAGTTTGCTAATTTAAACAACTTTGTATTTTTACTAATAACAAAGTTACCAATGGTGGACACTTAATTTGGATAACCCTGTATATACTCGTATATATATAAAATATTTTCCAGGTGTTTCTCTTGGCCATTTTGGTAATAACTTTTTGTGCCGCAAGCCTCTGCGATGGATAGTTTCCCAGTACCTCGCATTTTTAGTTGGCCCTGTACACTCGCAGTGGTCAGTTATGTTAACAAATGGCACTTCTGCGTTGTCTTGAATTGATTTTTTTCACTTCATCACGATCAATTATGAGAAAATTCCGGGCGATTGAATATCAAAATAGGTTCTTCAATTTTTCAAACCCCACCGAAAAAAGTTATTCAACTTATTTTAATCAAACGCTTTTAAGGCCACCGAAAAGTTTTATGATTTTTTATATAGAATGTTGAAAACACTCCATGTTCTCGATTTTGACTTTAGTAGATTTTCCAGCGGAAAATCCTTATTCTATAAAATTTTGTGTGGGATACTTTGACCAAAAAATAAAATTTTCTCTTGTTTTTTGAGGTATGAGCGACTTATTAGCACCCGTTTTATTCGAGCTGAAAGATGAAGTGGCAGCATTTTGGTGCTTCGTAGGCTTGATGCAAAGAGCTGTTTCGTCGCGACACCAACTGATAGAGATATGGACAGGTGCTTGAGATATTTAAGAGAACTCATCAGGGTGATGCTACCGAGATTCTATGATCATTTAGAAAACATAAAGACGCTATGGAATTACTGTTCTGTCACAGATGGATCTTACTGTGAGTGTTATTGTACGGTATACAGGGTTTGTCGAAAAGTAATAGGACTTCATTGCTTGGAAATCGCGCTGGCAGCGCTGCATCGACGCCAAAAAGAGCCTATTTTGAAAGTTTTTAAAGAATTATAATGATTGGCTCAATAAACTTTTTAAATCGAGTCAGTCCTATTTCTTTCCGGACAAACCTGTACGTCCATTGTCCATCGTTCATCTTATGAAGCTATTATAATTTCTCAAAGAAACTCTAAACTTGTGAACTGAAGTTCGAATAGTATCGCGAGTTCAATACGTAGAAACAGAAATTTGTTCATACAGGGTGGCCCAGAAATAACACGCCAATGTGACACTGGAGGTAGACTGGCTTCAGATTAATCAGATAAAATCAACATGACCTTAGTAAAAGTTTGCTAGTTTTCGAGATATTTCCACTTTCAATTTTTTCCAAAACATCACTACTTTTTGCTCCTTTGTTGCCTGTCATGGCTATTAAGAACTTCTAACTTATGAGTTTTTCCCTGGGCTGCCTTGATAGTAGGTTGAGACAACCGAGTATTCATTTCATTGAAAACTAGCACGGTATGCTAAAAAAAATAATACATTTTGTTTCAAAGTGAAAAAATGTACCAGACTGAATCGGCAAATGATTTTAAAAGCTAACCTACTTAATGCTCTTTCATAAATAGTATAACACTTGTATGTTCTTTCTACTAAAAAATGGATAATTCCAAGTTTTGTAATACTTGCGAAATATACTAAGTGACATATAAATCCGAACACCCAGTTTAAATGGTTTTATTTTAATAAAAGTCGGTGAATGTATTTATCTTACTGTAAATAACAAATGAAAAAATTTTCAGCCTTATCAGTGGGACATTCCGGTTTTATATTGCTTTTTTTTATTCAATAACGCTCTAAAAATGAATATTTCAGCCGCAGTAAAGAATCAACGTTGGCGGATTTTGGTTCTTGACATCCTTTACGATCGGTTACGATGCCTAGAGTACGGAGACCTGTACGATTTCGTCAACTTAGTGAGTTTGATAGGGACCGTATAGTGGGACTTCGGGAACCTGGACTTTCTTTTCGGGCAATTGCAGTTAGAGTGCAAAGAAGTGTAGACACTGTGGTTAGGTGTTGTCAGGCATGGCTTCGAGAAGGCCGTACGCAAAGAGCAAGGGGCACTGGACGCCGCCATAGAAAACAGACCGTGAAGATCGCTGCTTAAGATTATTGGCCTTAAGGGACCGTTTCTCCACTACCGGTCCATTGCAAATGAAATGGTTTGCAGAACACGGAAGACCTATTGGCATGCGAAGTGTTTACCGACAAATGAGAAGTTTTGGCTTGTTTTCATACCGGCCACACTGGGTCCTCCTTTTAACTCGAGAACACCGACGTAATCGCCTTGAGTGGTGCAGACAACGGTCGCTCTGGGATCAGGAATGGAACAGTATTGTCTTTAGTGACGAGTCTCGATTTTGTTTAGGCATGCACGATGGTCGTGACAGGGTTAGAAGGCGACGTGGTGAAAGGAGGAATCCAGTGTTTTGTTGAAAGACATGTTCATCACACTGTTGGAGTTATGGTTTGGGGTGCTATAGCTTATGGTTCCAGGTCACCTTTAATCTTCATCAGAGGTAACATGAACGCGCAGCGTTAAATCCACGAAGTTCTAGAACCCCATCTTTTACCCTATCTTGACACCCTGGCAGATCTAACTTTCCAACAAGATAGTGCCCGACCACATGTTGCAAGAGCCACAATAGACTTCTTTCAACATAATGATGTCACATTGTTACCATGGCCACCAAGATCTCCCGACTTATCCTCAATTGAGCACGTGTGGGATATGATGGGTAGGAGATTGCTCAATTTGCAACGTCCTCCTCAGACTCTAGAAGCACTTCGAGAGGAGTTGGTGGTTGCCTTGAATGAGATACCACAGGAGGACCTTGACCACCTGATCAGAAGCATGCCTAGGCGCGTTGGAGAATGCGTAGCACATCAGGGTGCATCCACACATTATTAAAGGTCAAAGGGCTTTAAAGCAGTGCAATAATTTTGAAATTTTTATCATTTACTTATTATGCTTCATTAA